TAAAAACAGAACCAGTGAATAAACTTATACCAAAGTTTTATTGCAATTTACTCTGACTACTTGTCTACTGACCGATTGAACAGAGTGCTTTCATACCTCCTAGATCTTAAGGGGAGGTAACTGATGATTTATCAGTACAGTTACCATCATATTCGCTTTGTTCAATAGACTTGAATTCAGCTTCACAAAACATGTTTCTTGTAGAAGTTAGAAGTGGATTCGGAATAAAAATTTGATTTAAAAAATTCACCGATTTGTAAGTCGTTTAACACCAACTGATATTTTTTCTGCTATTTACTCCGCAAAGGAATTAGGTAATTAGTGACGAGGTGTTAAGCTGGCGGGCTGGACAAAAGTCCTTCGCGGGACGGGTTTGATCCGGGGACCGGTGGTTGAGGACTTCTAATCTAATATGTTTTAAATCCTAAACAATTAGAACCAAAAATAAAACTGAGATATTTGAGATATATGTTTTTAGCGATGCGGAAAAGAATGAAACGTGGCGAGAAAATAATAGAGAGAGGGAAGCTTATAAATACACACCCCCACCACCAGAAAAAAAACACAGAACGAAAAGAAACAAACATTAAAACGGCACATAAGATATCGTTACTTGCGTTTATTTCAATCAAATTGTGCACAACTCTTGCAATATTAGAAACCACATGTAATAATAGACACAGAAAAAACATCGGCGAGGATTTTACTTATATTTCTAAAAATGCCACATTAAACAAAATACATCTAAACAGAATCGTTACAACATAGCAAAAATACGAACTTGACAGACTATTTTCAGCAGTTAAACAGAATCCATTTTCCCGCTATTTTTAACGTCATGTCCCCTGAGGACGTCGGTAATTATATCTGCACATAGCTTTCATTCTTTCCATAAGTTTTCTTAATATATCTTTAGAAGAATGATAGAATAGCTTTGAGATGCATTCTCCAAGGTTACATATTCCTATTAAATTGTCAAAAAAGCAGGAAATCATTTATTCATTTACAAAAACCTTCTCTTCATAAGTTTTCTTAACATACCGTGCGAAGAATGGCGAGATAACTCTGTAGTGCATTCTCCAAGGTTTCAAATCCTTTGAAGACTTTTTCCCAACGAAATCATAGCTCCACACAGTTTTCTTTATTTTCATTGGATTTTAAAATTTTGAGTCAAAATTTTTAGGGCAATTAATTTATGAAAATGGGAACCCCTCATCAATATGTGATACGCTCCTCCCAAAATCTATGATATGGGGCTCTCACTCTACTACATGCCAATTTTCATAAGGTAGTATTCATAGAAAATACAAATTTTATTATAACATAATGATGTACAATAGTGAATCATATGCAGTATAGGTGAACAATTCAACCAGAAAAAAAAATTGAAAATAAATACAATGTATCTAAATACAAATTATGATATGCCTACTTACATTATTTGCATTATTTGGACTCTTATCCTCAGCTTAATTGAAATATTCACAACGTTTCGGCTGTTTTACGCTTCAGCCTTCTTCAGGTGAATGGAATTTCGACCGAACCCTTTATTTCATACTTACAACTGCCGAAACGTTGTGAATATGACAATGAAGATGAGGATAACAGTTCGAATAATGTAAATAATGTAAGTAATCATATCTAATCTCAGAGATATAGACATGTCATAATAGATCATTCCTTCTTAAATAAATCAATAGTGTTTTCTAGCAATTTATAACATCATCTTCAGATATTTCTTTTTAAGAAATTGAATAATTTAAGACATTGAACGTTATGGATAAAAGATAATGAATTGTATATAGCCTTTTTCAAGATTTAGAATGATCGAAACAAATTCACGGATTTGGACCGCCCCCACCAAAAAAAGACACCAGAATGTTGTCAAAATCCGCTAAATTTCATAATGCTTTAATCGTCGGTGGCGTTCAGTTTAATTGCTAATATAGGTAAGAAAATCAAATGTTGATAAGTACTCACAAGTACTCCAATCAACCTTAACCCCAAGACCCGGTCGCTGGTTGAGGTGTAGTACGCACCGGCTAAAAGAAATCTCACTGAAAAATTCGAATTAGAATTCATAAAGTAATCCCTCGTCTTCTCCCTAATTGATATTTTTTTCAATTATAGCCAGCAATTCATTGTACAATAAAAAGACACTCAAGTCCGCTACATCTGCGTTGCTGAGCTAAAATATTTTCTTCATTTTCCTGTCTATGCTTTTTTTTGATTTTAAATTAAAATTTTTTGAATCTAGAATTGCGACCTTATATGAGTAAATTATCACAATAAAAACATTCAAGTCTGTTTGATCCTGATGTCCGAGATTACTATCTTCGACACTTTGCCATTAATTCATCTGTTTTTTCGTCTAGAGAGAATTTTCACACGTTGGCGAATCTTCGGAACTCAACCGTATAAGATATTTATATATCATATTTCAGAAATACGATAAACACACATACCCTGTTTTGATAATGCCAATTATCTGTAGTTACCGACACTAAGTCTGTAGTAGCTAACATCAGCGATTACATTACGAATTCGTAGTTACGAAAGAAAGAGGAATAATTTAGTACTGTACATTTAATACAGCACACAATCCAATCTGAGACTGTAAAATTCATGTACACTGTAAATATACACTATTTTGTGCTGCTGTTAAATTCACCCCTTTCCATTTCCTCCAGGAGATATGGTTAGAGGGAAAATAAACAGACATAAAAAAGGAGAAACAGCCTACACTGGTGTAAAAAACAGACGGAGCGTCAAATAATCGTCAGCTTGCGAAGCAGTTTATACAGAGTAACTACAACTCTGTCCACAGAGCAGGCGACTGATAAACTGAGTCGCGTACCCCAGATTTTCTCCGTCGCTTCCGATATCTGTTAAAGGGAGTTCCGTTATACTGAGGTATGAGAGTATTTCCAACTAAATTATTTTTCCTTTTTTTTTTTAACTAATTCTTACCCAGTACAATGCCCAAGAGCCGTTCAAGGTAGAAGCTTAGTGTGTGAAGTTTTTATAGCGTACGAAAAGCTAAGACGACAGGAATGATTGACAGCTAATTCTAGTTTTTTAAATACATTCATTTAATTAACGAGGCATAAAATTTCAGTGCTCAGGGGGGGGGGCTGTTAGGGATATAAAGTTGAAGCAGACTTTAGAAGGAACCCATTCCGAAACAGGAAACAAGGGATCAACCACTACTCCTGTTCAAAAGACCGGGTAGAAGTGTGTAGACGATGATAAGGGAACACATCTACTCCTACTGAGGGATATATCAAATAAGATATTGGAAATAAATAGTAAACATTTAAGAGTCTAAGCAGAGACGTTAGAAGTATTGAGGACTATTTGGTAGATGTTGATCTTTCTAACTAGTTACAACATATATGTATTTTGTTTCTGACCCTTAAACTTCAATTCATATACATGCTCAAATAATGTTACAATCACAAGGAAGAGAGTGTGTAAAACTAATTTTGCCTAGTTTTTTTTCTTCCCTTTCTACACAATGAATTGTATCTTCCTGGATAGATAGATAGATAGATAGAAAGATAGATAGATAGATAGATAGATAGATAGATAGATAGATAGATAGATAGATAGATAGATAGGTTGATGAGTAAATAGTTATATACAAAATACTAAAAGATAGATAAGGAGGTTGATAAGTAGATACATAGATAGATATGAAGTACTAAAAGATAGATAAATAGATTAAGAGGTTAATGAGTAGATGGATAAAAACGATTAGAGATAGAAATTAAAAGGTAAATGAGTAGATAGATAGATAGATAGATAGATAGATAGATAGATAGATAGATAGATAGATAGATAGAAAAATACTAAAAGATAGATAGATAGATAGATAGATAGATAGAACAGACTAAGATTGTTATAAACAGACTAAGACATATAGTTATAAACAGACTAAGATAGATATAAATTTAAGATGGATAGATAGATAGATAGATAGATAGATAGATAGATAGATAGATAGATACTGATAATATTAGTAGTCAATACATACATACATATATATATATATACGATGGAAATCATCGAACCTACAAATTCAAAAAGAAATCGGAAACATAATTCCGGGAAAAAAAAGATAGTAAGAGTGTATGGGTGGGAGTGGGAAACAAGTGAGAGAGCCCTCTCACTTGTTTCCCACTCATGTGTGTGTCTATATGTGTGTGTCTGTCTGTGTGTGTGTGTGTGTGTGTGTGTGTGTGTGTGTGTGTGTGTGTGTGTGTGTGTGTGTTTATATATATTTCTTGTATTATGTTGTTGTTTTACAAATAAGATTATAATTTGATGGTTTCTCTGGGTGAAAATAACAGAACAAATAAAAAAAAAACGAATTACACTTTAGATTAGTGTGCGTTGGAATGATTCATATTAGCACAAGAGATAAGATACATATAAGAAGAAAGAAGAGGTCTAGAAAAGGAAACACGCCATAACAATCAGATTGTATAATATTCTCTACAAATAAAAGAAAAAAACAAACAAACAGAAAACCTCTCAGGAACTAAAACTAAAACAGGGAGAAGGACAAAGTCTATTTCGGAAAAAGGAGTTGTGCTATTTTTCACATAGAAAAGCAATGCTCTTCTTATCTCTCTTCTCAAAAGAAAATGACACGATTAAATCGATAATCTTTCATGTGGTAATTTCTCCTGGCTGTGTTCTCATCTTGGACCCAAAACTAATATTTTATTTAATAAATTACGTCCTTCAGAGAATCAGGAAAGCCAAAAAAAAAACGGGTTTGAGTATTGGGTTATGCAAAGGAATTCTTTTATCTTGTATAGGGTTTCTTAATTACTTTTTTTGAACTATGTGTGAGATATCAACATCACTATCAGAATCATCTTCGGCAATTCTTATTCTTAAGGAAAACTACACGATATTCATTTTCATGTCACCGAATTCGACTTTTTTTCTTTATGTTGAATCGCTCTTGTCGCCTCTAGTCTCTCATGGGGCTTGCGGTCATACCAGGTTAAAAAACCGATCCTCGAACGATCGCCGGAGTTAAGCAACGTTGAGCCTGGTCAGTAATTATATGGGTGAGTGCTTGGAAATACGAGATGCTGTAAACTTGGATGTGTGTGTGGTGTAATGGGTAACGGCACATGGAAGCCGAACTCCAATTCCAGTCTAGTTCGTAACGTGCAGAAATTCACCTTTTCTTCCCCCGACTATGGGGGTAATCAGCAAAAATTGTATCATTATGTTATTATTATTTTTAAATAATTCTTTCTGTAAGTAACCTTCAACAGGTTGATAAACCGTAAAAAACAGATCAATTCATTATACATGGTTTTATATTTTTTTAGTTGACGATTGAAAATTCCTCATCATGGTAGCCAGTTACCTGAAAATCTTATTTTTTTTATACGTTATATTTAGTGGGTACACCCGTTTGAGGTGACACCCCGTTTTCTTTTAAACAGCGAAAATTATGTCCACTGGTCGAGAGACTGAAAGACATATTAAAGGTAAGGTGTCTTTTGATGCAAAGAAGACTCTTGAAGTTTTATCAGGATTCTTTCGTTCTCCTTCCATAAAACAAGTCCGATCAATCGAAATTGAAAACTTTCTAATTTAATTTGAACAGCTTTGAATTCAGCTTTGGGTGACGCGTTCTGCTGATTCTATTCTCCCATTTGTTAACCCGAGTTGATATTTTTTTTCTTTTCTATATAGGGTTTTTTCATGGATTTTGATGTTCCGTCGATTGAAGGTGTTGGATTTACATTCACAGAGCAAGCTATATACGACGTTTTTCTTTACATTGATAGATCAGTCGGAAGAAAGATTCTGACGACCAGTTTTCTTTTTGCACCGCAGTTAGTATTTACTTTTTAATCATTTCACCACGAGCAAGGCAATAAAGCCACTAAGATGCAGGGGTTTACTGAGTGGAAAATAATATAAGAAAAACAAAAATTTGATAAAGGAGAGAGAACAATAAAAGAACAGGAATTAAGAAGACAAGATAACAATTGACAATGCATTGAAATTTTTGTAGGTCAAACTTGACTGGTAAGCAAGAAGCCGGAAGAGAGTTCCACATGCAAGAAGTGTGATCGAAGAAACTGTTAGCATAAAACTTACGGTTATATTTATCTACACCGCGTGCCAAATTATTATCGAGATAACTTTTTTCTAATATTTCAAAAACCGTCCAATCAATTCACACAAAATTTTCACACATTGTTGGCAACACTGACCTGCGCAGTCACTGAAATTTTCGTACTGATCTGCGCAATGTAAACGAACTGGCGCCTTACAGACATAGCGCAGGTCAGTGTTGCCAACATTTGTGTAAAAAATTTTGTGGAATTGATTGGACGGTTTTTTGAAAATAGAAAAAAGTTATCTTGATAATAATTTGGCACGCAGTGTATTTCGGCTATAAAGTAATGCTATCTTTCTGCCAATTTAGAAATGCGTTTAAATTCATAAAGTTTACTTATCATAAAAGGAATATCCTCTTATCAATTACCATGAAAATATTTATAGAAAAAACAAATAGAGGCTACATTAAGGCTGTGAAAAAGTCACTGAAGTTACTAACGCAATTGTCTCTAGGGATTACTGTCGGTTCTGTGATAATGTCTTAAATAAGTGTATGTCGTCTATAATTCCCCTCTTTACTTATGTTGATGCATTAACATCTACTGATAAAGCAGAATGTCTGGCTACTATATTCTTTTCAAATTCTACTCTAGTCCCAATTGGTGTGTCATTGCTTGATTCTCCACTTAGAACTCAGTCACTATTAAGTGATATGTATATAACTATGTCCAGGGTTTCTGCTATCATATGGACTTGATGGTATCCCTGAAACAGCCCTTAAGAAATGTGCTCTTGAACTGGCTCCTGTTCTCTCTAAATTTAACAATACATATGTTGTTGTTTATTGCTTTCCTCCTCTTGAAAATAGATTTATAGGATTGGAGATCTTACTTATCAGTCAACCCTAGTCATTTTGAAGAGAAATAAATTTCCTTCATTTTGATACCAGTTAAATTTATTTTATCTGGTGTATAAACTGTTTTATAGGATTGGAGACCTTATTTATCAATCAAACCTCGTAATTTTGAAGAGCCTTTTTTTTCTTTTTCATTTTGATACCAGTTTCATTGTTCTATCTGGTATAAAATTTGTTTTGTCGAATTGGAGACCTTACGTATCAATCAAACCTCGTGGATTTGAAAAGAAATAAATTTCCTTCATTTTGATACCAGTTTCATTATTCTATCTAGTCTAAAACTTGTTTTATAGTATTGGAGAGCTTATTTATCAATCAAACGTCGTGATTTTGAAGAGAAATCAATTTCCTTCATTTTGATACCAGTTTCATTGTTCTATCTGTTTTGAAACTTGTTTTATGGAACTGGAGACCTTACTTATCAATCAACTGTCGTAATTTTGAAGAGAAATCATTTTTTTTCATTTTGATACTAGTTTCATTGTTCTATCTGGTGTAAAATTTGTTTTATAGGATTGGAGACCTTACTTATCAAAATCAACCCTCGTAATTTTGAAGAGAAATAAATGCACTTTATTTTGATACCAGTTTCATTACTCTCTCTAGTTTTATAGGATTCGAGATCTTATTTATCAATCAACCCACGTAACTTTTAAGAGAAATAGATTGACTTTATTTTGATACTGATTTCGGCTCACAAACTTGTTTTATAAGATTGGAGGCCTTACTTAGCAATCAACCCTTGTAATTTTGAAGAGAAATAAATGCACTTCTTTTTAATGCAATTTCATTATTCTTGACGAAACCTGATTTATAAGATGAGAGACTGAACTTATGATTCAACGAGTTGTAAAATGTACCAACTTCCTGATCCTTGTGTCCATAAATAAACTTTCGTTGTTACTTTAACATGAAATATTTCGTTTCTGCCATCTTAAATAATATCCATAACTGACACATCACCCGGCCTGCAAGAAAATTTATCTCTTGTATCTAATCAATGAATCTTTTGTACTCAATTCATATCAATGCTGTCAAAAGTTTTATATAGTAAATACAGAACGCGAATTCACTGAATATCACTTAGATCTTTCACTCGCTTTTTTTTATTATAAAAAGAAGGATCTGTCGTAAATAAATATGGGCGGATGGAAAACGTCATATTCCAATGTATGTTTTTGAGTCATTTCAAGGCGATAACGTCGCTAAGGCGCAAGCGGTTACTCGGAGTGAAAGAGAACGAGAAGGCTTTAGTAAGGAGAAAGGAGAATAAAAGTATCGGGTCCATTTTTGGGCCATAGTACAAGGTGGTCTTAATGTCATGTCACCCGCTCTCCCCCACCACCAAGAAAAAAGAATAATCAGAACAATAGAAGAAGAAGTAATAAAGTAATACAAAGCACATGTACTGGATTCAATTTCTTCACTTTCATTGACGCTGTCACACATCAAGAAGTTCTGTATGAACGCCACCATTATGGTGTCAGTCATCTGAAATAGAAAATTATATTATATAGAGGTGACAAGACTTTCGGAACACCTTGGAGTTTCATAGATGACATTACAAATATCCTCATAGGTAATCAAATAAAAGGATGATAAAAAGTGGAGGATCAGTTTTGTATTGATCTTTAGTATTAAACACATCCTCCATTTCTTGGCCATGGTAGAGAGAGGTTTGAAAGTCTTATACCCCCCTCCAAAAAAAGAATAATGCGAACAATAGTCCAACAAGTAATACACTAATACGAAGCGCATGTATTGGCTTCACTTTCTTTACTTTCATTGACGCTGTCACACACCGAAAATGTTTGTATGAGTACCATTTTCGTGTCAGCCATTTGAAACAGAAAATTATATGCAGGGGAGTGACAAGACTTTCGGACCACTATGTACATAGTAACGACTCATGGGAAAACAGTCTTCATTGCAATACGAAACTTCAGTCCATCTATGTAAGTTATTTTTTTTCTTTTAATAAATGTAGCATTATTGATATTTTCTCATTCTAAGCATTCATCGGTGAAACTATATTTCTAATCCTTCTAATCTCTTCATCTTTGAGTGGATTATCAAACATTCACTGATTTATGGTTATACAGGATTATAAAAATGGCAGTTCCGAACTCTTTTCTTTGTTACTAACGTCATTTTCCCGTATCTTAATTATTTGCTAATTTTTTTTGAAAAGGGTGAAGTGCGTGTCTGGAATTCAGTGCCATATAGATGATTAGAAAGTAATCTTAAAGACCAGAATATAGTGCCCTATCTATCCTCTGACTTGAGACTAAATCGCTCAATGGCAAAAGGACTGACTTGTAAAATTTAACACGGTCAAAAGCAAACTTGTAACAAGCCTTCAATCAAACCCTGAACTTTCGGCTATGATGATAGTTAAGTCTCCTCTCAAATAGGCTCGTTGTCTTGAACATTCATTTGGCCCTAATTGGAACACATATATTCAACCTATTTCCAACTGGAAAAATGTTTGGATCATTGCACTGTTCCAGTAGGTATCCAACATTAACCGATCTAACCTTATGTGATGGGAGGGATTATATTAAATAGCATTTCAGAAGCCTTCTCATTGTTTCTAATGACATTTTCTTATCTTTTAATGCTTGCCATTTTTCTGAAAGGCATGAGGGGATTGTCCAGCATTCACTTCCATAGAGGAAATTAGATATTACATAGCAATTCAGTACTCTTTTCTTTAGTTCTAACGACATTTTCCTATCACTTAATACTTTGCTTAGGTTCTGAAAGGCATGAAGAGATTGTTCAGCATACACTGCCATATAGAAGATTAGATATTACATAGCGATTCAGCACACTTTTCTTTGTTTCTAACGAAACTTTCATATCTCTCAATACATTGCTTAGTTTCTGAAAAGCATGAAGGGAATGTTCAGTATTCACTGCTATAAAGGAGATTAGACTTTACATAGCAGTTCAGCACTCTTTTCTTTGTTTCTAACGACATTTCCTTATTTCTTAATACTTTGCTCGGGTTCTGAAAGGTATGAAGAGATTGTTCCGCATTCACTGCCATATAGGAGATAAGATATTAGATAGCAATTCAGCAATCTTTTCTTTGTT